ACGGGGTGATTTGGGGACAGTTTGGGGGGTTTGGGGACACTTTGGTGGCACTTTGGGGTGATTTGGGGGCACTTTGAGGGGATTTGGTGGCAGTTTGGGGACACTTTGGGGACACTTTGGGGACACTTTGGGGACACTTTGGGGACACTTTGGGGACACTTTGGGGACACTTTGGGGACACTTTGGGGACACTTTGGGGACACTTTGGGGACACTTTGGGGACACTTTGGGGACACTTTGGGGACACTTTGGGGACACTTTGGGGACACTTTGGGGACACTTTGGGGACACTTTGGGGACACTTTGGGGACACTTTGGGGACACTTTGGGGTGGTTTGGGGGGATTTGGGGATGCTTTGCTGTCATTTTGCTTTGGGGATACTTTGGTGACACTTTGGGGACACTTTAGGGACAGTTTGGGGACAGTTTGGGGGCACTTTGAGGGATTTTGGTGGCAGTTTTGGGGGTTTTGGGGACACGCTGGGGACACGTTGGTGGCACTCTGGGGACCCCGCGGGCGCTGACCAGGAAGGAGCAGAGGAAGATGAAGGACACGAAGTAGAAGTAGGCGAACTCGTTGCCGCACTCGTCCTCCTTGATGCCCGAGTTCTCGTCACACGGCTTGCCGCTGAGGCACGACAGCATGATCTCGTGCCACGCCTCGCCGGTGGCACTCCTGGGGACACACGTGACACACGTGACACATGTGACACACACATGATCTCGTGCCACGCCTCGCCGGTGGCACTCCTGGGGACACATGTGACACCAGGGACACGGTGACAGCGGGGACATGGAGCAGGGGGCTGTCATAGCGAGGGTGGCACCAGTGGGGCACTGGGGTGGCACTGGGACTACACCAGGTGACACAGGGGTGGCACTGGGTACCCAGGTGACACTGGGGTGGCACTGGGTGACACAGGGGTGGCACTGGGATTCCACCAGAGGACGTGCTGGGGTGGCACTGGGTGCCCAGGTGACACAGGGGTGACACTGGGATTATGCCAGGTGACACTGGGATCACCCGGGGGGTCTCACCAGGATTCCACCAGGTGACACAGGGGTGGTGGCACTGGGTACCCAGGTGACACAGGGGTGGCAGTGGCTGCCCAGGTGACACAGGGGTGGTGGCAGTGGCTGCCCAGGTGCCACCCAGGTGCCCCCAGGTGCCCCCCAGGTGCGGGCTCACCTGAAGAGCAGCATCAGCGCCTGGAAGAAGGTGCGGAAGTTGTTGTGCTGGGTGATGGCCGACTCATCATCCTCCTCCTCGATGCCGATGTTCCCAAACACCTGCGGGGGCCGGGCAGCTCAGGGGGGGCTGGGGGGGTCACTGCAGCTGGGGGGGTC